TCCAATTCATTTGATGAAGTCTGGGTTCCTGCTCATTAGGCCAAAGGCAGATGACGTCAGACCTTGTATATTCCAGGATTAATTAGTAAAAGCTTTGTGTTCCATAGTGTCAGGTGTTGTTTTCGCGTGGTTTAGGCCTGGACCATTACAGTAGGTGTGAGCAGAGCATGTTGAGCATCTGATACATACCTCTTAGGTCGCAGAATGGGGCTTGGGTGGGTGTATTAGTGGGGGTTGGGTCTGTTGATCTGCTCATGGCCTGGGCATATGTGCGGCTGTCATGTTGAGGTCCTTGCTGCAGGGGCGGGGGCATGGGGGGGCAGAAGGGGCATAGGTCTGATCTGGGGGGGGGCTATATAGGGTGTGGCCAGGGTTTGTTTGGGGGGGGGGGGGGGGGGGGGGGGGTCTCAGCTGGTTGGGGTGTGGCTGGTGTAGCTGTGGTCTGGGTGTAGGTCCTCTTGACTTGGGTTCTCACGGTGCAGGTCCTTCAGGAGGGGGTCTTGCAGGTCTGGGAGGGTGTCTCGGTGATCTGGGCAGGGTGTCCGTTGCTCCTGTGTGAGGTGCTGGGTCTGTGGTTGAGGGTCACGTCATTCAGGGTCCTGGCAAAAGTTGGGATTGCTGCCTTGTAGAGGTGGACCTGGTCATAAAGGCTGTTCAAGTCCAGGGTGGCGTGGTAGGCCAGGTAGACATTAGGTTTTGAGGCACAGTCCCGAGAAATGCCTGCGTTCACTCGCTGTATGGTGGCAGGGTGAAACTATTTTCGTGGTAGCAGGGTGGAGACAACCACTTGTGCGTTGGGGAAATTGGAAGAAGCTTTTTCAATCACTTACTTGATTGCTGTGTCCACCCTTTCCTGCTGGGCCCTCAGGTTGTTTGTGCCTTGTGAAATATGATTTGGCTGGGGTACCCTAGTTTGTCCTCTGACAACAGCTCCAGGGCATGCCTAGTGTTTGGGCACCAGAGTTTAGCCACTTTGTGTTTGGGATCTTGTGCTGCTCTGTTTTGTGATTCTGTTCTGTCTGGAGTGTGTGGACTAGCTCTCTGAGCTCCACCATCCCTCTCTCCAGCTCTGTGAATCTATCTCTCTCAACAATGGAGGAGCAGTGCAGTTGTGGGACCTGAGTCTTTTAAGTGGGGGGTGACTCTCCTCTTGGTGCTGCTCGTCTGCAGGGCAGTTTGAGGATGAGGTGTGATCAGACTCACTCAGGATGGTGGAGTCTTCACCGAGAGAGAGCTTTTCCTGCTGTGCTCTCTGATCCCGTAAAAATCCTGCTGAAACTGCATGAGGATGCCCTGCACCATTATTGATCCAGACTTGAACACTTTGACAGAGGTTGTTTCAATTTCCTCAACGTCTAGTATTCTGAGTTTCCCCCCTGGGCCAATACCTTCTCTCTTGACATAGGGATAGTGTGCTCTTATAGCACTCTGCCATGCCAGGAGATGGTCTGTGTGGAAAATTAAGTTGCTTACATTCCCCTCTTTGTAGCAGTCAGCAAATAGTGGCTCTGGATTGTCCTTGAGGAGCTTATTGTTGTACTTATTCTGTGCAGTGTTATTTTACTCTCTTTCTCAATTCCAATTCCAATTCAATTCAATTCAATTTCAATTCCATTTAAAGGGCTTTAATGGTATGGGAAACATATGTTTACATTGTCAAAGCAAGCAAGCAAGTCTCTCTCAATTCACGCGCGTCAGTGCGTGTGCTTATTATGGCGAGATCACAGAGGTGAAATGCCTAAATGCCTCTAATTTGTCCTGTATAATGTTGCTTCATAAACTAATACCGCGGGAGGTAGCCTACGGCAGGTTATACAACACCTCAGGACGATGCGCTCTTGAATGTCACCCAGTTCTCATCGGCAACCGCCGGGAAACATCGCAAGGTTTCGACGACATCGGTATGAAATGGCAGAAACTGCTTGTGTCACGGACACAAAGATTAGGCTACGTAGTACACATGTATTTTGCAGATCCAGGCCTGCCAGTGGAAGGAAACGCAGTGTATTCAGAGGTTGTCCTACTAAGGAGAAAATAAATAAGATCTTCAAATATTCTGCTGTATATTTCAACGGAAGACCAGATTCCGCGGTTTGACAGTTTTGGCATTTCTAACCCGTTCTTTTGGAGTGGGGTGAGTTCGATATGAAACCTTTATAAGATATGTTATTGTTAGCAGTGGGGGAGGGTAATAGCACCGATGGGTTGCAAAAAACACAGAAAATACGTTAAATAACTGCAATTAGCTATCTGGACCATATTGTCGAGTTTTGGCGTATAGGCCTATTGCAATTTTAAAGGCATGCACCGCATTAAAAAAACATGGCTATTGGATATTCTCAATGCGCGATTAATTGAAACGCGCACGAGAGGCTACAGAATGCGCTACATTGTAAGACTTTAACTACCTGCTAGTGCTATATTGTATCAACGACCTAAGTATCTTCGCGGCATATAGCCTACTGACAACATCAATGGCGTGGTTACATTTGCCATGCGACATTTGGATTTGTAACATCACCATAATTTCTTAAAGAAACACATGCACACCATTCGGTCATAAATGGGCTTTTGACAATTAGCCTACCACCAATAGACTAGTATGAACTTGTGTGTGCAAGTTAACTTATTGTCTGCTAGTGCGTCAAGTCTATTTCTATTAAACAAGTGAAAGGTGTATAGTTGCAGGTTGTGTACATTTCATCCAATATACCGAAGAATAGCAGAAAAATGAATCGACGATATTATGGTCACATCGACATAACCATCTATCATAATAAGAACGTTGTTAATAATGATATGAATCATGTAAATATGGTTAAATCATATCTTAATTTGTCTGTATCTATTCAATTAAAGATGAATAACATTTCGGTGATGTTTTGTGTCACATGTTGTTTTGAAGGATTTTGGACACCTTCATTGACCATTCCAGGTGTGTCATATAGAAGAATGACCTCCATAACAGATGCAGCAAGAGGCATTTGGCACATTGCTTCTAATGCTGATGTCTGCTCTCAGTGGTGATAGTCTTCAGTGTTTTCATTAGCTGGAAAAGAAGGCTGGTGAAAACCACATAGATAATGTGAAAAGTCATATCAATTTAGGTTAGATGTAGACCCCATCTGGGCATTGTGGCATAAAAGAGAATCATGGATGGCCCTAAATGTTGAATTTGGTTTGACAGCCTGACAGACATACTGTCAGACTGCAAATTATTCTGCCCCATTTTCATGTTCAGGTTTCTTCCAGATATCCATTTAATGTATTCCTTGAAATGAAATGGCACCCCATTTTACTGAAATGCCCCACACCGTGAACGTGTGATTAGTGCGAGACCTTGAAACAGCGTCAGACGATGTGGCGACGACATGCTTCATGGCTACAGTTCTCTGCCTCCCTCTGATCGCATATTCTCTCAGATTCTCTGTGATTTGAACGAGCACTCATCTATCGAAGTTTCACATCAAAAGACCAACTGACATGTCATAACAATGCTCACATTCCAGTGATAATGCGAAGCAAAATAGTGTCATTCATGTTGTTTTAATAAAATGACACACATATCATTACATTTAGTCTGACTGTATAGGCATGGTCATACAGTTGTTCACACCACTGTTCATTCTTCTCCAGATTGGATGGAGCGACTGCACGGAGTGATTTCACTTTGAAGTTGTAAAAGTATTTTGTTCAGGCTTCTCCAAACCCTGTTTTAGTTCATCTCATAGCAGGGCTTCAGGCTGTTGACATGCCTTTCAACCGAGATGAAAAAACCCTGCTGAACGCCCCTTCATGTGGAGAGTAGAAAAGAGAAGGGGGTGGTTGTATAGGCGTATGAAGGTCAAGTCATGGTCTGTCGACTGTGCAGCCATCAGCCAGTGGAAATGTCCTCAGCACAAATGTTCTAAATTTGACTAATGATTTCTTCAAACTCCTTATCAAATCCAGCGCTCCCTCACGCTCTCTTTTTCTCTCTACGCCTAGCTACTTCCTTCCATTTGCCTGAACAATGAGTCTTAAATATACATTTCTGCAGGCTCTAATGGGCTTTGGACAGTGGTACTAGTCCCTCTCGATGTGATAGCCATGGGATTTCTCTATAGGCTAGTGATCAACTTTTCTAGCGCTGCCCCATATCTCGCCCGAACAATCATCTAAAGAGATTGTGTTTCTGTTTTTAATTTGCTATGTTCAAATTCGAGCCAGGACGATACCGGTATCGCGATACTCGTTACTATTGTGGCAAGGAAACAAAACACGAAGTGGATTTAATTTCTTTAGGAAAACAGCCCTAATGTTGGAAACAAACATCATTTTAGTGTCATCAAGAGTCATTTATTTCCCAAGCAATATCACACAGTATTTTACATACAGCAGGTTTTTAAAGGACCAGAGTGTGGCCTGCTTCGTGTTTTCATTTTTGCCATGGAAAATGTATTGCGATACTGGTATCTTGACAGCCCTAGTTCAAATGCTAGCAAAGCACTGCCACAAGCCTCAGGAAAGGCCTCTCTGTTTTCTGATATTGGATATGTTTTTAAAGCTGTAGAGGCAGGATGTATGCAATGGATTTTATGAGCTGTAGGTTTAGTCTAGCTTAGACTAACACAATTGTGGCTGAAACATTGTTCCCTGTTTAGACCACAATTGATTGGTGGTACCGTACAGTTTGCTGGGCTGATATTTTGCTTTGCAGTGCTCTGGCTTTACATTTATGAAAGCTGTGATCCAAATCCTGGAATGAATTTGTACAGTATATTGTTTTATGATGGGGTATAAAATACCAGCTAATCCTATAAACCCAGAACTATAATGTATTGTAATGCATTTAAACCTATTTAGATTAACTGAGTGTGTAACACGGTATACCCTAGCTAGCCTAAATTATCCAAATGTCGTCGCTATTCAGGGAGGACTTAATTGCGCTCATATTTCACCTAATGAATTTTGACACACAATGCAGCCTCTGTCAATCATATCCCCATAGATTGACAACTATGGCTTGGAAGGTCCAGGTAATGAGCTGATAATATGCTAATACTTGTTTTATCTTCCCGTTTATTCTCCCTCTGTCTTAGGTCTTGAGACAGAACTTCCACTTGGATGCCCAAAACACACACTTTTGTCCAGATTTCATCATGAATCGGAATAAGCGTGAAAAGGAGTATTATAGTTTAGACGTCGGGGATTCCACTTTTACGGTTTTGAAGCGCTACCAGAATTTAAGACCCATAGGCTCCGGAGCACAGGGAATTGTCTGGTGAGTAGACGGAGCTGTGAATTGGAAAGGAAAAGAGATGCCCTGTAGCCCAATGCTCATTATCCAGTGACTATGTTAGAACTGTGTGTGTGTAACTTAAGCAATAAGGCACCTCGGGGGTGTGGTATATGGCCATATACCACAAACCCCTGAGGTGCCTTACTGCTATTATAAACTGGTTACCAATGTAATTAGAGCAGTAAAAATAAATGTTTTGTCATACCCGCGGTATACGGTCTGATATACCATAGCTGTCAGCCAATCAGCATTCAGGGCTCGAACCACCCAGTTTATAATTTGGAAAATAATATCTCATCTGAGTCATACTATAAAATATCACCATTTGCTAGCTATTTGAAATGGCTTTGGAAGTCAATATGATTAATCCATTATTAGCTGCTGTAGGTTGTAATGGCATTGTAAGTCAATATGATTCATACGTTATTAGCTGCTGTAGGTTGAAATGGCATTGGAAGTCAATATGATACGTTATTAGCTGCTCTAGGTTGAAATGGCATTGGAAGTCAATATAATTCATACGTTATTAGCTGCTGTAGGTTGAAATGACATTGGAAGTCAATATGATACGTTATTAGCTGCTCTAGGTTGAAATGGCATTGGATGTCAATATGATACCTTATTAGCTGCTGTAGGTTGAAATGGCATTGGAAGTCAATATGATACGTTATTAGCTGCTGTACGTTGAAATGGCATTGGAAATCAATATGATACGTTATTAGCTGCTGTTGGTTGAAATGACATTGGAAGTCAATATGATACGTTATTAGCTGCTGTAGGTTGAAATGGCATTGGAAGTCAATATGATACGTCATTAACTGCTGTAGGTTGAAATGGCATTGGAAGTCAATATGATACGTTATTAGCTGCTGTAAGTTTGTTTATATGCTATATGTTTGCCATTGGTCCAGTATTACACTTCAATCATTTGGACCCTGATATTGATTTAGGATGTGGGAAAGTAGGAACAAACTCATCTTTCATTAAAACATTTTTATTAAAGACATTGATGTTTGGCCGTGCTAGTCTTCTTCAGATTGTGTCATACACTATGGACATACATTTGTATTTTTGTGTTTACAGCTCAGCATATGACCACAACCTTGAGCGAAATGTTGCAATAAAAAAACTCAGCCGACCTTTCCAGAACCAGACCCATGCCAAAAGAGCTTACAGAGAACTGGTGCTCATGAAATGTGTCAACCATAAGAACGTAAGCTATTTACCTCTCTCTGAATCTGTGTGTCTGATAGAAAAAAGGGGAGAGCAAGTAGGAAAGGGAGTTGTCCCAATTTATAGAAAAGAAAGTTACCACAGCATTAACCAAAATGTAAAATCATCACAGATCATTCAAAAATGTTGCTATCATCATGTAGCTATTACATGAATGCTTGATGTTTCCATTTTTCTAAAATGTCATTGTCCATTTTATGTAGTGTTGTTCATTTTCCAAAGAACCCTTCTGTAATTTTAGCACGCCCTTAGGCAGCATATTGTCAGCATGAAATGCAATGTTCCTACAAATGCTGCTCACAGAACTATGATGCACTGATGCATTTTATAACTCCACAGATTATCGGCCTATTAAATGTATTCACGCCACAGAAGACGCTGGAAGAATTTCAAGATGTGTAAGTAACGTCGCCTTGGTTATAAAATCAATAAGGATAAATTACAATACTATATAATCACTGTTACCTGGTAGGCTGTAGTGCAGAAATGGCAAAAAGTATATTTTGGATTTATATAAGAAGGAAAATGTGTTTTGTGCAGTGTAGTGGGGCCCACGGTCTATTATGGGATAGCTGACGGGTTAGTACATTGTAGTGCATGTGAGGAAATGTGATTAATTCTCAGAGCGGAGGGAGGAACTGTGAGAATCTTTGTCTTTCTGAATTGGATCTAAAATTAAAAATGTACAACATGGCTGGGGGGTAAACAGCCTGTTTCACTATGATGGAGGAGCAGCCCACTCCTGTGAGTGTGTACATGTATGTATCCTGAAGCATCACACAATATAATACATTTTACTCATTATGAAGTAATTTACAATGCTTTATTAAGAAGTGTAATAGACCAGGGGTTTTCAACCTTTTCTTTGCCCAGGCAAACCGGCGACCGAGGGACCCCCATCATATGTTAGCAAAAAAAAAAAAATCACTTCTTGTCTCATCATCTGGTGAATGATAATTGCAAGTAGAAGTAATCAACATTTTAAAATGAATAGATTTGGTAGACAGTTATATTATTTTCACCTCCCACAGTTCATTAGAAGAGGAAGTGTAAACTCTAACATGGTCTATTAGCTAGAAAGGTAATTTTGCAGTTTTGAATCTAATTTCCTGAAATTCTACACAGTTTGGCATGTGGCTGAGTGACAGTTTTGCAGTTTTAAAGATACATTCTAATTTTGCCATGGCTAATGCTGTGTTCCTCTGCTCAAACATGATAGCTAAATCAAAGGGCATGTGCCCTGATTTGCCCGTTTAAATTTTCGATTCTCCCTTACTGTGTAGCTGTTATTTGATTGTTAGTTCTCAAAGATGGTATTATATATATATATATATATATTAGTACCAGTCAAAAGTTTGGACACCTACTCATTCAAGGGTTTTTCTTTATTTTCTATATTGTAGAATAATAGTGAAGACATCAAAACTATGAAATAACACATATGGAATCATGTAGTAACCAAAAAAGTGTTAAACAAATCAAAACATATTTTTCAGATAGGCACCCTTTGCTTTGATGACAGCTTTGCACACTCTTGGCATTCTCTCAACCAGCTACACCTGGAATGCTTTTCCAACAGTCTTGAAGGAGTTCCAACATATGCTGAGCACTTGTTGGCTGCTTTTCCTTCGCTCTGCGGTCCAACTCATCCCAAACCATCTCAATTGGGTTGAGGTCGGGTGATTGTGGAGACCAGGTCATCTGATGCAGCACTCCATCACTCTCCTTCTTGATCAAATAGCCCTTACATAGCCTGGAGGTGTGTTGGGTCATTGTCCTGTTGAAAAACAAATGATAGTCCCACTAAGTGCAAACCAGATGGGATAGCGTATCGCTGCAGAATGCTGTGGTAGCCATGCTGGTTTAGTGTGCCTTGAATTCTAAATAAATCACCAACAGTGTCACCAGCAAAGCACCATCACACCACTTCCATGCTTCACGGTGGGAACCACACATGCGGAGATCATCCGTTCACCTACTCTGCGTCTCACAAAGACACGGCGGTTGGAACCAAAAATCTCATTTTGACTCATCAGACCAAAGGACAGATTTCCACCGGTCTAATGTCCATTGCTCGTGTTTCTTGGCACAAGCAAGTCTCTTCTTCTTATTGGTGTCCTTTAGTAATGGTTTCTTTGCAGCAATTCGACCATGAAGGCCTAGCTCATGAAACTAGCTCTAACTTCCTTCATACTGGATGCAGAGACCACGATGGTATTCTGTTGCAGCTAGCGATATTCATAAAATAATATTTTCTTACCACCTAAAAACTGTAAAAGACTACTGAGATGGTATTCAATAAATAAGTTGTTACATCTAACATGTCCAAGCAGGAATGCATTTTTCTAAATATTTTGATATGCAACCTAATCCAGTGATTGTCATGAATTTTGCGTTGATAACTAGGCAATTTTTGTTATATTTTACTGTCAAAATAGAGATGAATTTGCCTTAATCTTTGTGCACTAATATTATACAGTGCATTTGGAAAGTATTCAGACCCCTTTAATTTTTCCACATTTTGTTACGTTAAAGCCTTATTCTAAAATTGATTAAACGTTTTTTTCCCCTCATCATTCTACACACAATAACCCAAAATGACAAAGCAAACACAGGTTTTTAGACATTTTTGCACATTTATTACAAATAAAAAATTGAAATATTACATTTACATAAATATTCAGACCCTTTCCTCAGTACTTTGTTGAAGCACCTTTGGTAGCGATTACAGCCTTGAGTCTTCTTGGGTATGACTACAAGCTTGGCACACCTGTATTTGGGGAGTTTCTCCCATTCTTCTCTGCAGATCCTCTCAAGCTCTGTCAGGTTGGATAGGGAGCGTCGTTGCAGAGCTGTTTTCAGGTCTCTCCAGTGATGTTCGATTGGGTTCAAGTCCGGGCTCTGGCAGGGCCACTCAAGGATATTCAGAGACTTGTCCCGAAGCCACTCCTGCGTTGTCTTGGCTGTGTGCTTAGGGTCTTTGTCCTGTTGGAAGATGAACCTTCACCCCAGTCTGAGGTCCTGAGCGCTCTGGAGCAGGTTTTCATCAAGGATCTTTCTGTACTTTGCTCCGTTCATCTTTCCCTCGATCCTGACTAGTCTCCCAGTCCCTGCCGCTGAAAAACATCGCCACAGCATGATGCTGCCTCCACCATGCTTCACCGTATGGATGGTGTCAGGTTTCTCCCAGACGTGACACTTGGCATTCAGGCAAAGAGTTCAATCTTGGTTTCATCATACCAGATAATCTTGTTTCTTGTGTTCTGAGAGTCTTTAGGTGCCTTTTGGCAAACTCCAAGCGGGCTGTCATGCATTTTACTGAGGAGTGGTTTACGTCTGGCCACTCTACCATAATGGCCTGATTGGTGGAGTGCTGCAGAGATGGTTGTCCTTCTGGAAGGTTCACCCATCTCCACAGAAGAACTCTGTAACTCTGTCAGAGTGACCATCAGGTTCTTGGTCAACTCCCTGACCAAGGCCTTTCTCCCCCGATTGCTCAGTTTGGCCGGACCGACCAGATCAATTGAATTTACCACAGTTGGACTCCAATCAAGTTGTAGAAACATCTCAAGGACGATCAATGGAAACAGGATGCACCTGAGCTCAATTTCGAGTCTCATAACAAAAGGTCTGAATACTTATGCAAATAAGGTATTTCTGTTATTAATTTATTTTTTGCAAAAATGTCTTAACCTGTTTCCGTTTTGTCATTGTGGGGTATTGTGTGTAGATTGATGAGGAAAAAACATAATTGAATCAATTTTAGAATAAGGCTGTAACGTAACAAAATGTGGAAAAAGTGAAGGGGTCTGAATACTTTCCGAATGCACTGTATGTATGCCTAATTCAATTGGTGCTAATTCAACACCTGAGGAAGTGGAAACTCAAAACACATGAGCTAAATATAACTCTAAATATAACACCTACTGCTAGAACCTAACAGTAAATGTAATTTCCCCCAAAATACTTTGGAAGTGCGTAGGCACTTGCGATGGCCTATGCGCAATTTCGCACGCTCCATTTTCAAGCTCAATAATGATTGTTAAGAAGAAATATACATACAGAAATCTGACACCCTCCTCTCTTTTAATATGGACAACATGTTGCTTCCAAAGTTGTGCATTTCCCCCACAATGACATTTGAAATGATATAAAGGGGGGGAGAGTGTGAGAGGCTCGCTCATTACAGAAACAAGCAGGCACAACGGCAGACATTTTTATTACAGGAATCATGAGATTAATGCACTTTACTGTTTAACAAATTCATGATTTTATCCACTCAAAAATAGGACTTTTTGATTTAGGTGACCAGGTAGAATGTGCTGCTTGCACCAATGTTAAATGTTAAAATGCAACTAAATGGTCGCAGTCTGAAGCCCTGGTGTGTGTGTGTGTGTGAGTGAGAGCGCGAGACGTGTGCACTTTGCGCGTATTCTTTATCTGTGTGCGTTTGCCTGTGTATGCATACGTTTGAGTGTGTACGTGTGCACTGCACACCTTTCTGTGTAATATCACCCTCCCTCCCCTCTGCTCTGTATCCGTCCCCAGGTATATTGTGATGGAGCTAATGGATGCCAACCTGTGCCAGGTGATTCAGATGGAGCTGGACCACGAGCGGCTGTCCTATCTGCTCTACCAGATGCTGTGTGGCATCAAGCACCTTCACGCCGCGGGCATCATACACAGGGTGGGCACACACCACCACACCTTGCCTGGCCAAGCAACCTTAATGTGACCCAGTCCTCCTGTGTATTCCTAAAGTTGTCCCTTCTCTTACAATGCATTCACCTTTTGGAGAGCTGAATAAAAAATGCAATTTCATTGGCCTGGTGTTGTGAATGGAACTTAAGCATTGGTAGAGAGTTATCCATCTCTAAACCATATCCCCCTCCTGTCCCCCACCCTCAGGATCTGAAACCCAGCAACATTGTGGTAAAGTCAGACTGCACACTGAAGATCCTGGACTTTGGATTGGCCAGGACAGCGGCCACGGGCCTCCTGATGACCCCGTATGTGGTGACCCGCTACTACCGCGCCCCCGAAGTCATCTTGGGCATGGGTTACCAGGCCAACGGTGAGTGAGTGACCGAGGGATCGGCCAATCGGACCTTTGCGTGCTGCAGAACGCTGTTTGTCGCATGCCCCGCCCACAAGGTCCTGAGACCCACCTTCACAGCCACACCCCCCTCCCGTGTCAGTGTCACAGTCAGGGGGGTAGGTGGCACGCCTGGCTATGCATTGTGGGTTCCTTTCCTCCTGTATAGAGAGCCAGTGCACAGCAGCTGTAGCGCTTGTGTTTTCTAAGAAGCCGTCCAGAGACGGCGCAGCTGGACTAGATATCAGTGTGATCCATTCCCTTATGGATTCTATAGTTCAGCTTGCCTTTAACAATTAACGTTTACTGCAAGAATGTGCAGATGTGATGGGGCTCGATATCTCCAAATCATTGTACTTGCTGCAATAAAATTCAGAGCTCAAATACGAAGAAAAAAGATTGTCTTTAAATTAAACTTGAACTGCCTGAAAATATGGGCATCCCTGCAGTGTGTTGACCAAAAAACGACCCAAACTTTCCTGCTGACTTGTTGCTTCGCCTTTTTCCTCCTCTTTTCTATTGCTACACATATTTAGTGGATATATGGGCTGTGGGCTGCATTATGGCAGAAATGGTTCGCCACAAAATCCTTTTTCCAGGAAGGGATTGTATCCTTGTGCTGCTTGAAGCAGTTCAGTTCTGCATTTGAAAAAACCGTTGGAGTTTATTTTTTGAAGGCTTGTTACGATGGATTGCGGAGATCATGTCAAAGAGCAACTGTCGAAATTCTATTTCTCTTCTGTTATGCCTGACACTTCCATCCCCCACACCTTCCCTCTATCCCCCAAAGCACCCAGTGCTATAGCTTGATGCACCTCTGACTCACGCAACAAGCACCTGAAATAGAATTCAACAATGTTTTGCTCTTTCATTTTTTTTTACCAAGACAATTGCAAAAGATCTTAAATCATATTATTGTTTGACTTTCTTCTTCAAAGATAAGCAGCCATTTTGGCAGAAAATAAGAAATGGTCACTGTCCTAACACAGAATATCTAATATAAATGATGGACTGGGAGAGCTTTTATCAATAATCGAAAATTGGCCTTTGTCTATTCAACTGATAGTATTAATTTGCCCCAGTGAGAATCTTGAGGGTGTTATGCATTTCTGCTGTCATAATACAGTTTATGCAGGCCTTGGGTGTCAGTGTCTTGCTAGTTGAAAGCCAATGCTATGTAGGCAATGTAAAATAAAATATAAAAAAAAAAGGAAGTGGCCCTCGTCCACTTTGTTTATTAATATGCCAGATAGTGAACCAAAAAACCCACACCTTATCATGATGTACTGCCTAGTCGGACACTGACAGCGGTTTGACATGAGAGTTAGCATGCCTTCATTTTCTTTGTTTGTATTCACACACATCACCTTGTCTGCATCGTTATCCCTTCCTTGTTTTGTTATTTTTAATTTGGATTGCTTTGAGTTCTGCATGCTAATTTGGTTGTCATTCCATTTTTCAGTTGATGTCTGGTCTATTGGCTGCATCATGGCAGAAATGGTCCGAGGTAGTGTGTTGTTCCCAGGCACAGATCGTATCCTTACCTGGACCCTCGTCGTCCCTCCATTGTGTGTGTGTGTATGTAAATGTGTTTGTTTATGTGTGTGAAAGAGTGTGTGTTGTGGTGGTGAGACCAACGTACTGCATTTACATGTTAGTCATTTAGCAGACCCTCTTACCCAGAGCGAGTTACAGGAGCGATTAGGGTTAAGTGCCTTGCTCAAGGGCATATCGACAGATTTTTCACCTAGTCGGCTCAGGGATTCGAAACCAGCGACCTTTCACTCCATCCAAATGAATTTCCACTGGGTTGGGTATATGTGAATGGGTTTGTACCTGTTGGCGGCCATTTCATCTCAATGGAAAACTTTTCTGATCACTTCACCTCATTACACAGTCCCACACCGAGGCTTGTGGCTCTGTTTTCAGTGTTCTGTGTGTCCGTCTCATGGGAGAAGAGACGATCGAACAGCTTTCCCATGATTCCTCAATCACAGTTGCTCTACAAAGGCAACAGTGAAAGAAATTAGCATCCTTTGTGTCCAGTGTCCATAATCCTCCTCCTTTATCCCAACTACAAGCATAAAACTGTCAATATTCCCCTCATGAAAAGCCTCTGAAAAGCCCTTTGCAGCTTTTTTTCTTACATGTTGGAATGTCAGATATTGATCAGTGGAACAAGGTGATCGAGCAGCTAGGGACTCCAAGTCAGGAGTTCCTGATGAAGCTAAACCAGTCGGTGAGGACTTACGTGGAGAACAGACCCCGCTTCGCCGGCTATACCTTCGAGAAGCTCTTCCCCGACGTCCTCTTCCCAGCCGACTCGGAGCACAACAAACTGAAAGGTAAGCGGGGAGAGCACACACCCCTGGGGGACACCCCAAGCATGAAAACTGCAGTATTGTGTGTCATTGTGAGATGCAACATGTCATACATGTCTGTATGACTAGAATATTCCAGATATATAGTCCATTTTTTTGCTGAATATAAGTACATTACGTGCCTAACACTTTCTCTGATATGCACTAACTAATAGAGTCTGACTTATGTGATCAATTGGAAATTCCACGGAAAGTAGTCAATGATGATTAGTAGTATTTTATGTAGTGGTTTAAAGCCTTACTCTGCTTTGATTCAGATCATGTTTGACTAAGGGACTCTATTCTGGCCCACTACACTAATTTATCAGCACAGTGAATGTCAGCCGAGTGAATGAGAGGGGAATTTGCCAACGCCATTAATTTCCCTATTTGTCTCAATTGCCTCGCAGCAAGTCAAGCCAGAGACCTATTATCAAAGATGCTGGTAATAGATGCATCCAAACGGATCTCTGTGAGCGAGGCTCTCCAGCACCCCTACATCAACGTGTGGTATGATCCAACTGAAGTGGAGGCGGTAAGCACTTACTGGCCCATTATGTGGCCGTGGAGGGGGTGGTTCTTGTGTTAATGATCTACTCTTACGTTAAATAATATGACTCTTCAGGTCCACTGTGTGTGTTTAAGCGTGCATATGCCTCGAAATACACATTGAGTGGTGATTCACAATAAGAGGGAATGTCAAAACAGCCAAAATGATGAAAGCCCTGGGAAAGGCTTAGCCCAGATCAGATGGATTTATTTTATTTATTTAACCTTTATTTAACTAGGCAAGTCAGATAAGAATTTGTTCTTATTTACAATGACGGCCAATCCCGGACGACGCTGGGCCAATTGTGCGCCGCCCTATGGGACTCCCAATCACGGCCGGATTGTGATACAGCCTGGAATCGAACCAGTGTCTGTTGTGACGTCTCTAGCACTGAGATGCAGTGCCTTAGACAGCTGCGCCACTCGGGAGATCATAAAACTCCCTGAATGTTTAAGCAGGTGCTCTGGATTTGACATCCATTGACAGCCAAGTCATCATCACAGAGATTGCACTTGGATGTGTCAGGTCGTTTTTCCTCTGTCAACCAATCAGACCTCGGCTACCGTACAGTGCGGGGGTGGAGAATGAGATGTTGCACTCAACTCAGTCACTCGCATGCAAGCATTCCTCACAACTGACAAAATCGGCCTTGAGACGTGTAGATTTGGCTGCAGTACAGCGCCTTGCGCAAATGTGTGAAATTTGAATGTGACTCAGCCAAGTGAAGAGAAGGCCAACAGTCACCCCACTTAAAGTACACTCTTCCCTGTCCTGTTCCTGTTGCAGCCCCCACCGCTGATCACAGACAAGCAGCTGGATGAGCGGGAGCACACGGTGGAGGAGTGGAAAGGTACAGTAGAGGGAGAGAGCAGCCATTTTCCTTACCCATGCTTTGATTCATACACTTCGAGCACGTTTAAATGTTTCCACTATGTTACATTACAATTGCACATTATTCTACTAAGAATCTACATCTCAAGATGTTCTTGTGGGACATTCAATCTTAATATTTCAGTTTTATGCAGGTTTTGCCCTTTGTGTCTGTTTGTCCTAACAAATCCCTGTCTAAAGTGAGAAGTGTGTATGGTGTATCCTACCCTTCCATGTCTGTCTAATCTAGACCTGGTCTGATGATCTAACCCTGCTCCCTCTTGGCTCTGTTCTTAAGTGTGGACTCCCTGTGTCACATCATGCTAGCTATGTTCCTGTCTGTCATGTTCTTCTTAGGTTTAGGTTTCATGTCTAGGGTTGCAAAATTCCCAGGTTTTCCAGAAATCCCGGTTGGAGTATTCTGAGATATCCTGCTTATTCCTTCCTAATTCCAGGAATCTTCCTACAAGAATTTCTGGAAATCCTGGGAGTTTTGGTGTAGTTACCAGAAGTTTCAACTGTTCACTCTTTTTACCAAATCTTGTGATCCATTGCAGATTTGATATACATTGAGGTCCAGGACTGGGAGGAGAGAACAAAGAATGGAGTGATCCGGGGACAGCCAGCGTCTTTAGGTTAGTTTAGAGACTTTTCTCCATGGGCAACCTGAGCACTCCCACTCTGATGGTTATACTCTATAACTAGGGCCCAGAGTTGTTCCTGGTCAGGTCCTATGGTCAGAGAAATCTCCTGGTCCTAGAGCACTATGTGTGGGAGCAACAAATTGAGACTGGCACGGTCTCTCTGCTCATAGTTGACTTCTGTTCCAGATCCAGTTTGAAGGACCATGTTTATTTCTTAGTGAAGAACCTTTCCTCTTTCCGTCTGCTGAAATGTCATTGCCTAACCAGAAGTCTGACTTGATACCCCCTCTCTGTTTCTCCATACATGTAGCACAGGTGCAGCAGTGAGCAGCAGCTTCCAGCAGCACCCTTCCGCGTCCTCCATGTCCACCGACCCCACCCTGGCCTCAGACACGGACAGCAGCCTGGAGACGGCCTCTAACACGGACCCGCGGGGCTGCTGCAGATGACCATCACCATGCCCTGGTCCCTGTCCCACCAGTCCCTCCGCTTGTCTTCAATGGTGTGGAGTTTAGGCCAGTTTCGATATTTGTTTGTTAAAAAGAAAACTGATTTTTTTCCCTTAAAGTACTACTACAGAGTCATTTTTATTACATTTTATTACTATTTTTTAGTCCAGGCTGTAATATCATTTTTATTTTATTTTATTTTACTAAGAACTTTATTTTTTCTCACTACGCTGCAGTTTTGGCTGATGGGGATATTTTGAGAACATCTGTAAAAGCTTTTTACATGCTTTTATTTTGTTTCTTTGATTTTAGTGTCATCTACTTTTATTTCAAGCTACTGCTGTTTCAACTGACCATATCGATGTGGAATGAGTTTGTACAGATTTTATGGTGAATATATCTTTTTAAATTTTAGTTTGCAGTGAGCCATTCTAACCATCATTTAATTGATACATTTATGATTTTAGTACTCCCCTTCCGAATAGTAATATTACTTTGTCTATTCTAATCTCTTTCATATGGAATATTGTTTAATGCATATATCCATTGGGTTAGATTTTGAAATATACTTTAGATTTATTTGTATAAAAAGAACTGTTTTCCTCTTGTGGGTCACTACCTCCTTGTAAAAAAAAAAAAAGAAAGAAAAAAAAAAGAAGAAGAAATCCTTTATCAAACCACTTTCTTTTTGTTTAGTCTTAAAATATCTCAAAATGCTGTTAGATTCCTGAACCATTTTCTCTTTTGGTAAGAGAAGACAGTGTTACTTTTTTGTTGTTGAATTTTTGTCTGAATTTTATTTTCCGATTTTATGGGTGTTCCAGTGTATGACGGAAATGGCGCAGATAGGTCCAGAAAGGAAACTAAGGAGCTTTTGATAATTGTCTTTATTTGTCAGTGCTGAAGGCACTGCTTCCTCTGCACTGACAAGTTATTCTACAGTGATTATTTTCTACAGGTTTACTCTTTCTTTGACAGTGGGGCTATGTTGAACGCTAGGACTGAGAAATATGGTTGTACTGTACAGGTGTATGCTGAGGAGCTTTGTAAGAAAAGGATGTTACTAGTTAGAACACATGACTTGAGACGGTTGAAGGTATATGAAGAATGTGTTTGGATTGAGTCCAAAACAGGGATGTAGAGAGGGCTTGTGTTTGTGGTGATGTTGGTTGTCTTTGGAGGGATGGACATTCTGCAGGCTTCAAGCGCAGAAACAAACTATTTAAAGAAACAAGGTTCCTAATCTGATCTCATGTTATTTATGTAATATAAGTGTACCGTCAGCTTGCAGTGTATTGAACATTTCAAATTGGAAAATGAGTGTACGAAATGTAAGTAATAAGCAGGATCTCAGAGAAGATAATTGGCTGAACCCTTTGCAGAACTTGTGTGCACTAAATCAATTTCACCCTATGCTTAGTACATCACACAATAGCTACAGAACCACCTCCAAAACCCAAGTGAATCAATGATTCTGAACTGTATGCAATAATGGTGTCCTTCCAGTGTTTTTTTTATTTATTTGGCTTTTAAAAGGAAAAAGTGCCTGTAGTTTGTCAAGCATTCATTCCTGAGTATCTAGGAAGAGGATGAGGAGTCATGGTGTTTCGAGGTTAATAACGGTTCCTGATAATGACTATAGTAGTTTCCACAAGTAAGTCAATCACATTTGAGGCGGTTATCATAAATGTTTTGTAAATTTTTCTACGGCATTGGTAAGTCTCCAACTTTAGGGTCAATGTTCTGTAAAGAGAATGATGTTTGCTTCAGAATATTTTAGCTCATACGTTTGAAATTATTTAAAAAAGTGGCAGTTCTATCAAAGTAGGTCTTTCATCAAAGTAAAATACTTTTAAAAAAATAACACTGAATGGTAGGCGTGTATGGTTTGCGGCTCCACTTTGCATAATGAGAATGTGCTTGATGATTTTAGGAGAGAAATTATCATACTGTTTTGCCTAATTTCCTCAATATTAAACCAAATTTATTTGCGCTGAATGGTAACTGTGGCAGTGTAGCTGTTATGCGGTGGCGTTGAAGAATGCCTGTGCTAAATTATGGAGTTGTTTCAGAACGTAAAATGCCATGTATTGGATCATTTGGGAACATGACGTGTTGTTGATTGGTCGAAGGGGAAGGTATGCAGAATAACAGCCAATCATATGTATCCATTATTATAGTACCTGTGTTATAATTCATAATTATAATAACTTTTTTGTTATTTTAAGTGCTCTTATGTTTCTTAACCCAGCATTATTAGGGATACATTCGGAATTGTTTGACTTTCTGTGGCTTTTTGCTTTTGTATCACATCTCTCAATTGTAATCGTGATTTTAAGTAGGCTTTGATGAACTACCTCACACTAAATTTCTACAAGTTCTTGGATACTTAGTTGCCCACATGATTAGCTATCGAAGACGTGTGAATACAGATTCCGTTATTTATTTATTTGAAAGTGTACTATTGTCAATGTTAGGAAACTTCTAGTTGTATACGGTGTGTACTTCACCTAGAAGTAAAGAGAATTGTTTATGTAAATGTCATTCCCCCCCTCTCTTTCCCTCTTTTAGTTTTTACAGTTCATGTGCAATACCTTCTGCAAATTATGCTAGTAGTGAACTAAGTGATGGATCTAGCCCATGTTAGTTTGTATGTTTCTGAAGGTAGAGAAATGTTTGGTACTGTCAATCCATGTTTTCCTTTTTTATGAATTAGGATGATTCTTTGTGACTTTAATCTACGATGTTATGTAATCAGTCCTATACCAGTCCTTAAAATATTTGGCCAGAGGGAGCAGTGAGAGGGGGTTACATCATGCATGGCCAATAGATTTTGATTGGGGTAAGGCCAAATAATTATAAAGAAAATTTAAAAAGATGACAAGTAATGGCTAAAAACAAACTCGTGTATATATATATATATGGTGCTGGTTTGTTATGCAACTAGTTAAACATTTCTGGCTCTGTGCATCCTGACCGCAGCCAATGAAAAGTGCACTACTATAATAAATACACTGGGATCTGATGATGCCAACTTAAAAACAAACATGTACTGCAAATAAAAGAAACAACATTTGACTCATGAATTTGTAGGTCTTTTTTTGTGCTTGATCTTAATGTGATATAATTTGTTGGAATTATGAGTAAGACACTGAGCTAAGTATAAGATGCACTGAACACAAGCTTGCTGACACATACTTAAGGTATCAGTCACGAAATGGCACCTGTCATCTTTATTTACTTAGATTGCCATAATGCCATTCATTACAAGTGTGTAGAATAAGCAACTTAAATCTTAATCAAAGACAAACATTTAGCCTAAGTTTGTTTTAAGAGAAAATAATAATTTCAACTGCTGTCATCGACAGGGCGACCACTATAGACGCTTGTCTATATCGGTTGTCTTTCAAAACACCACCTTGTAAACATTAGCATATGAACAGCATATGAAAAGGGTCTGTATAAAATGTTAAAACAAAAAATACAGTTACATTGCCTTAAAATGAATGCACATTATTATACTGCTTATAGGGATGTTCAAGAACCAAATCATGTTTTGTGTTCAGGCCTCAAGCCATTTCTATGCAGTAGAAGTAATCATTTGCTGAAAAAGGGGATTCTATCCACAGTTTCACCACATGCAACGATCACATAATAATTTTCTGGGAAATGTATATAATTGTTATGCATTCAAATCTATATCATTGTTTTAATAATTAGTTTAGACTCAATTTACAGGGATGGCTTGATCAACAACACAGTTACATTCACTAAAGTATACATAAAGTTTCAAAATGTTCATTCAATTAACACGCCAATAAATCAGAACATTATACTTCTTTGTTTTTAAAATCGCCGGCGTCTTGGAGCTAGAATTGGGATTATGTATACTGTGCTAATGGGTGGCTGGAGTACAGGAGAGCAATACAGCAAACTTATCAAACGAGGCGTTTGGGGCAAGTACATGGGGGCTGCCATCTATATGCACCTCCGCGATTGTCATCTTACTGCAAGTGATTCTGAGGATGTCTTGTTGCTCTTCAACAAATTTGGAGTAGTGATAAAGTTAAGCAATACATGTACCATGTGAGTATTATTGACAGTAATTGACTAACTACACCTCTGGAGAACATTTTCTTTTTTAAATTCAAAAAGACCGCAAAGGCACAGCCAGCACACTTCTTCATTGTTTCTTTGAGGGCAGTGGTCAGCTTCATGTGCCCCAAACCGACATGGCAGCTTCAACCCTGGTCCTTAGCAGAGTCCAGCTTTGGTAATGTTGTATTTGCATATTGTGTACTGTAGTAGGCAGCATATGATTAACACAGAAGGGATTATTGTATAGTCATAATGATAGCAGTTGAAACCCTTTGCTTTACATTAAAGGTATACTGACAGAGTTGACCAGAGTAAACCAAGGACCGAGGCTTTGTCACCAAACGACATGGAATTCCATCCAGATAGATACTCGTGGTAGTTATAGGCACACTTTGAGGCCTGAGGAAACATTGAGAGACGCAGCTGCCTGCGTTGGACAACATGCAGTATTATTCACTGAGTCCATGTAGTTGTCAGTCTTGCTTGCCAGACTCATGGCACTCGGCTGTGGGAAGAGACTATAGAGGTCTATGACCAGGGCTATTAAATGTCGCTAGTCCTTGAGCCCAGAGCCAGGTCCCCCAGAGTGGAGAAGAAGTCCTCCATTTCCTTCTCCAGGAGCCGGTTCCTGTTCTCTGCGTCGTGACGTGCACGCTCTGAGTTGCGGAGCTTGATCTCCAGCATCCGCTGCTTCTTCCTCTCCTGCTCCATCTCCTGCTCCAGACGCTCCATCTGAGCACCCAGTGCCGCACTGGACTCCTCCAGCCTGCAGGGGGCACACACACACACAGGTTGATTTACATAAATGTAGAGCCGGCGCTCCTCAATACCTGCAAGTAACCCGAGAAAGATTGTTGACTGATTTACAGCAATATTGAGTATTTTGGAAGGGAAAATACTTTAGTCCTTTGATTTTTTTGGACACTAGGAATCAGTCTACTCAGACAATGCACATTTTGTTGTTATGTTCACATTACCTGTTTCTCACCAGTTTCATTCAAAATTCTGACTTATTATCCCCAATAGTACAGTAAATAACCTGCAGACGTACTTTTTGATCCTGGTCTCATAGGCCACCTTCTGTTTCCTCAGCTCGTCCTTCAGGCCCTCCACCAGGCTGGTAAGTGCTTTGGAGCCTCTGTCAAGGTCTTCTGGCGTCACGATGGACGGCACCACCATATTGGCTATGGTATTCCCATTGTCACTGCAGCCTGCACTGCTAACACACAGCTCCATGGCTTCACTACTGTCCTGCTCCTGCTCTGAGACCCTATCTCCAACTCTCTCCTCCTCCCGGCCTCCCCTCTGACCCTGGCCCGGGCCCTGGGGTGAGGCTAGCTCCTGCCATTGGCACTCCCCTAGACCCTTCCCGTTACCACAGTTAGGCCCTGAGGGCTCGCTGCCTGAGTCGGGTGCGGAGATGTCACAGGATGAGGTGGACCAAGGCGTGCTGGCTACGCTAGGGACACTGCCCATGCTGGAGGAAGACGTGACGTTGTCGTAAGTGGACAGTCTCTGGGAAAAGCCGGTGGAGTCCCTGACACGCTCCCCCGAGGAGGTGCGCCTGTGGCTCCTCAGAGAGGACAGCCCGTTCATCAGCCAGTTGCCACTGGGGGACACGGTGGTGACGTCGGCCTGAGGAGGGGGCCGCGGCGTTGAGGTACCCTTGAAGGAGTACTTCCAGGAGGGGTTCTTGGTCTGCTTGCTGGGGCTGACCACCGTCTCCCCCTTCCCTGAAGGAGCCAGTCTGGGTGGAGGGGTGGTGGCAGCGCAGAGCTTTGCGTCCAGAGAAGAGGCGCTGCTGCAGGTGAGGTCCTCGTTGGGGTTGGTGGGGCAGCTCTGGAGGTCCTCCTCGGAGATCCAGCCACCGATGCTGTGCTGATGGAGCTGTTGGCCCTGGAGGGTCACCTCTGGCTGGGGAACAGGGACCTCCAACTCCCCCCTCCCCGAGTACAGACGGTTATGTTCACTGATCAGTACGGTCATGAGGCTTTGGACTAGGGAGGTCCCTTTACAGGAAATAAGAAACAATGAAAAGGTATAAGGAACCATACTGTACAACGCTGCTCTACTTTAGTCATGAATAGATAATGTGCAAGTGATGTTTTTCTGTCGTCCACTGTCCATAGACTAATGTACTGTGTCTACTCTGCCTCATACTTCCCAGACAGTTTAATCAAAAAATATCAGTACTGTCTCAGATGATTAATGCAGCACCTATTAATATCAGTATGATATAAAATGAATGAGAGTTCATACCTTCCATAATAGCCACTGGGTCCTCCATTTTGGGCCGGAGGATATTTGGTCCAAAAACTGTGGCCAGGTTCTGTACACTCATCTTGTTTTTGTTTGCGTGAGACTGGACCTCGTCAAGAAACCTATAAAGGAAGGCATGGCACGGTGGGACGGAATTAGAACCAAATGAAAATGGCACCGTGATAAAGTAAGATATTTGTGATCTTCAAAAGAAGGAGTTGGATGTTTGTGGACGTACATGCATATATACTTCAGGAGATTGTAGTTGGCGGGAGGAAGATTGCTCACTTGCTTGCCCAGCTCCTGTACACCCTAAAAGATGAGATGAGAACCTATGACATACAGTATCACCATTTATTGTTTCTTCACACAGACAACATGTACTTGAACACTGGTTTCTATCGAATGACAGAGCAGTTCTGTTCTTTGGCTTCGGTGTCATAGTAACATGAACTGGAACTAGTGCAGAGAAGTGTCTCTTACCTCCTCCACGTCTTTGGCCAGCAGCTGAGCACAGGAGAGGAAGTCCTCATACATGGAGAAAGGGACCACAGGCTCAGGCAGTTCACGGAAGTAGAGCTTCAGCAGGGACGCCACCGTGTGGACGTCAGTGTTACTGCAAGAGTGCACAAAAGAGTTATCTAGAGTGGTCTACTAACTGTATGAATCAGTCCAATAGCAAGTGCTATATTCTTAGTGGCCAACAGTGGAGGGATTTATTGTAGGCCTGTGTAATGTGTGTACAGTATATGTAGGTCTCACAGGCGGCTGGTGGCACCTTAATTGGGGAGGACGGGCTCATAGTAATGGCTGGAATGGAATGAAGTCAAAACATCATACACATGGTTTACTTATGTTTGATACCATTCACTTCATTGCAGTCGTTGTTATGAGCCGTCCTCCCCTCACCAGCCTCGTGTGTATACACCATCACAGTACAGGATGCGTACTCAGAGCATGCGCACTCAGAGCATGCGCTGACCAGCTGGCAAGTGTCTTCACTGACATTTTCAACCTCTCCATGACCCAGTCTGTAATGCCTACATGTTTCAAGCAGACCACCATAGTCCCTGTGCCCAACAACGCCAAGGTAACCTGCCTAAATGACTACATCAACACCATCATCCCAGAAACCCTGGACCCACTCCAATTCGCATACCGCCCAAACAGATCCACAGATGACGCAATCTCTATTGCACTTCACACTGCCCTCTCCCACCTGGACAAAAGGAACACCTACATGAGAATGCTGTTCAGCATTCAACACCATAGTGCCCTCCAAGCTTATGACTAAGCTAAGGACCCTGGGACTGAACACATCCCTCTGCAACTGGATCCTGGACTTCCTGATGGGCCACCCCCAGGTGGTGAGGGTAGGCAACACCACATCCACCACACTGACCCCCAACACGGTGGCCCATCAGGGGTGCGTGCTTAGTCCCCTCCTGTACTCCCTGTTCACCCATGACTGCGTGGCCACGCACGACTCCAACACCATCATTAAGTTTGCCGGCGACATGACGGTGGTAGGCCTGATCACCCACGACGATGAGACCAGCATTCAGGGAGGAGGTCAGAGACCTGGCAGTGTGGTACCAGGACAACAACCACTCCCTCAATGTGATAAAGACAAAGAAGCTGATCGTGGACTACAGGAAAAGGAGGGCCGAGCCTGACTGGTTGCATCACCGCTTGGTATGGCAACTTCTCGGCATCCGACTGCAAGGCGCTACAGAGGGTAATGCGTACAGCCCAGTACATCACTGGGACTGAGCTTCCTGCTCTTCAGGACCTCTATACCAGGCGGTGTCAGAGGAAGGCCCTAAAAATGGTCAATGACTCTAGCCACCCAAGTCATAGACTGTTCTCTGTGCTACCGCATGGCAAGCGGTACCGGATCGCCAAGTCTGGGACCAAAAGGCTTCTTAACAGCTTCTACCCCCAAGCCATAAGACGGCTGAACAGTTCATCAAATGGCTACCTGGACTATTTACATTGACCCCCTTATTTTATTCTTATTATTGCACTGTCTCTCTTGCACAGGCTCGATGTACAGTCACTGGAATCTAACCACAAACTCGCACATACTACACACACACACACACACACACACACACACACACACACACACACACACACACACACACACACACAAACGCTGCTGCTACTATCTGTTTATTATCTACAGTGCCTTTGGAAAGTATTCAGACCCTTTGACTTTTTCCACATTTTGTTAGGTTACAGCCTTATTCTAAAATTGATTAAATTGTTTTTTTCCCCCTCATCATTCTACACAAAATACCTCATAATGACAAAGCAAAAACAGTTTTTTTATAACTTTTTGTTAATTTATATAAATAAATAAAAACTGAAATATTACATTTACATAAGCATTCAGACCCTTTCCTCAGTACTTTGTTGAAGCACCTTTGGCAGAAAGTACAGCCTCGAGTCTCCTTGGGTATGACGCTACAAGCTTGGCACACCTGTATTTGGGGAGTTTCTCCCATTCTTCTCTGCAGATCCTCTCAAGCTCTGTCAGGTAAGATGGGGAGCGTTGCTGCACAGCTATTTTCAGGTCTCTCCAGAGATGTTCAATCAGGTTTAAGTCCAGGCTCTCGCTGGGCCACTCAAGGACATTCAGAGACTTGTCCGGATGCCACTCCTGCGTTGTCTTGACTGTGTGCTTATGGTCGTTGTCCTGTTGGAAGGTGAACCTTCACCCCAGTCTGAGGTCCTGAGAGCTCTGGAGCAGGTTTTCATCAAAGATCTCTCTGTACTTTGCTCCGTTAATCTTTCCCTCGATCCTGACTAGTCTCCCAGTCCCTGCCGCTGAAAAACATCCCCACAGCATGATTCTGCCACCACCATGATTCACTGTAGGGATATTGCCAGGTTTCCTCCAGATGTGAAGCTTGGCATTCAGGCCAAAGAGTTCAATCTTACATTTTACATTTTAGTCATTTAGCAGACGCTCTTATCCAGGGCGACTTACAGTTAGTGCATACATTTTTATTTATTTTTTCATACTGGCCCCCAGAGAATCTTGTTTCTCATGGTCTGAGAGTCTTTAGGTGCCTTTTGGCAAACTCCAAGTGGGCTGTCATGTACCATAAATGCCTGATTGGTGGAGTGCTGCAGAGATGGTTGTCCTTCTGGAAGGTTCTCCCATCTCCACAGAAGAACTCTAGAGCTCTGTTAGAGTGACCATCAGATTCTTGGTCACCTCCCTGACCAAGGCCCTTCTCCCCCGATTTCTCAGTTTGGCCGGGTGGCCAGCTCTAGGAATAGTCTTGTCTTCCTTTTAAGAATGATGGAGGCCACTGTGTTTTTGGGGACCTTCAATGCTGCAGATTTTTTTGGGTACCCTTCCCCAGATCTGTGCCTCGACACAATCCTGTCACAATTCCTTTGACCTCATGGCTTGGTTTTTGCTTTGACATGCAATGTCAACTGTGGGACCTTATATAGACAGGTGTGTGCCTTTCCAAATCATGTCCAATCAATTGAATTGACCACAGGTGGACTCCAATCAAGTTGTAGAAACATCTCAAGGATGATCAATGGAAACAGGATGCACCTGAGCTCAATTTCGAGTCTCATAGCAAAGGGTCTGAATACTTATGTAAATAAGGTATTTCTGTTTTAAAAAATGTATAAGGTTGCAATATATATATATATATATATATATATATATATATATGTTTTTGCTTTGTCATTATGGGGTATTGTGTGTAGATTGCTGAGGATTATATATTTTTAAAATCAATTTTAGAAAAGTCAAGTGGTCTGAATTCTTTGCACTTTACTCCCTACCTACATGTACATATTACCTCAATTACCTCAACTACCTCCTACCACATTGGCTTGCTACCGGTACCCCTTGTATGTAGCCTTGTTATTTTATTCTGTAACTATTTTTCCTTGAATTTATTTAGCTAATTCGTCTTACTTTTTTAAAACTCTGCATTGTTGGTTAAGGGCTTGTAAGTAAGCATTTCACGGTAATATTGTATTCGGTGCATGTGATAAATAACATTTCATTTCATTTGACTGTCAATAATTGACCACCACCACCACTACTGTCGCCACCACTTCTACTTCCACCTGAACAAATAGCAAGTCAGCACTTTTTGCCATTCAATAACAGCGAATGCAGATCTACCTGTCAAACAGAGGCTTATCCCCACAGTCAAAGGCTTCCTGTAGATCCTTTACCAGGTTAGCCTGCCCTGGCATCCGAAAGAGACCCTCCTCATCCAGACCTCGTTCCCTTATGAAGTCCACACATTGCTCCACCAGAAGAGGTGCCAGGCGGTGGCCAAATTTCTTCTCATACTGGACTGTGTCTTGTAAACGCTGGCCAAATATCCCTGCAGGCAAAAAACACGTTTTACATACAGTGTAGGGTACTGTATTTCAGTATTTCATTAATGGTTGTCATTCATTCAATTAAAAAAGTATTAACATAATAAAATGACAAATAAATTATATATATATATATATATATATATATATATATATATATATATATATATATATATAAAATAAATGTTACATATTATATAAAATGACAAATCAATGGAAAGTTATGTTCAGGAATACCAATATGCAGCTCCTCAACATTCAGTAGTTGGATGAACAGTAAACACAAAATGCAAATGAAAAAAGGAGAAACGTAGAGGAAGGAGAAAAAGTTCAGACGGTCTTCACATCTACATCGATCAATCGCGCACCGCATCTCACCTGATTGTGCGCGACACCGCCTCTCAACACAGTCGCAACCACTAGACACCGACAGATCGGAGTAGTCGTAGTACGTCATCGAGCAAGTGCTACACGGAATCAGAGTGCGCTTTTCATACGTTCCAAAGCCACATTTACCAAGCAGCGACGGTCGAAGTAATTCAATCCAGTCTGGCTCGTGCATTCGAGGTGACTGGTTTTCTAAAAACACGTAATGAACGTAATGACACATATATAGACTTTGGTAATAGCGCAGCGTCCGAGCAGAATGAGACGAGGATGAGAACGAGAAGACAGGTAGTCAGCACATAAAAATGTAAATAGCAGACATGGAAGCGTCACGGGTTCTGCCAGCAGTATTCCTGTTAACGACAGTTCAATAAATTGGCGACACTTCTATTCTTGATGGAGAGCGAGAACTGGAAAACATTCCTGCAGCCATGTACATTTGAGACGATGGAAACGAAATACACTGCAGTGCAACAGAACATTCAGGGGCCAATACAAAACGTGTCAATAGGCCTCAAATAATGTACAGATGGAATCCTGCTGTTATCAGCAACCTCGTGTATATCCTCCCGATGTAAAATGGAAATGATAGCCAACCGTTTTCAGTTTAGGCCCTCTACATGAATTAGACATGTTGAGCTAAAGAAGAGTCATCTTCGTCATTGCATGCTCCTTCTAAAATGTAATGTATGAAGCCACAAGGACTGGCTACAATAGTGTGCCTCCCTTCCAGTTCCAGGGTGTTGGTTGGTTTAAAGTTATGGCTATGATATGAAAGCACTGATGTCAGACAGACATACTGTGATCCTCCTATTTATAATGTCCTTTTTGTAACATAATATCTGGATATCCAGTTGCCTCCACACAACCTAGCCCAGTTATATTTCTGGACACATGTCAAGGATAGTAGCATACAGTAGACTAGCCTCCAGTGCAACGTTAGCAACTGTACAGGGTGTAATGACACACTAGTGAGGAAATGCAGACTTACAGCTCTGAAAGGAACTGTTAGTCTGTTCTGAACATACAGTGCATTTGGAAAGTATTCAGACCCCTTGACTTTTCCACATTTTGCTATGTTACAGCCTTATTCTAAAATAGAATAAATTGTTTCAATCTAAACACAATAACCAATAATGACAAAAACAAAAACAGGTTTTTAGACATACAAAAAAACACACACAAAAAACAACAGACTCTTTACTCAATACTTTGTTGTAGCACCTTTGGCTGCGATCACAGCCTCGCGTCTTCTTGGGTATGACTCTACAAGCTTGGCACACCTGCATTTGGGGAGTTTCTCCCATTCTTCTCTGCAGATCCTCTTAAGCTCTGCCAGGTTGGATGGGGAGCGTCGCTGCACAGCTATTTTCAGGTCTCTCCAGAGATGTTCGATCGGGTTCATGTCCGGGCTCTGGCTGGGCCACTAATGGACATTCAGAGACCTGTCCAGAACGCACTCCTGCATTGTCTTGGCTGTTTGCTTAGGGTCGTTGTCCTGTTGGAAGGTGAACCTTCGCCCCCAGTCTGAGGTCCTGAGCACTCTGGAGCAGGTTTTCATCAAGGATCTCTCTGTACTTTGCTCCGTTCATCTTTCCCTCGATCCTGACTAGTCTCCCAGTTCCTGCCGCTGAAAACCTCCCTGACCAAGGCCCTTCTCCCCCGATTGCTCAGTTTGGCCGGGCGGCCAGCTCTAGGAAGAGTCTTGGTGGTTCCAAACTTCTTCCATTTAAGAGTAATGGAGGACACTGTGTTCTTGGGGACCTTCAATGCTGCATACATTTTTTGGTACCCTTCCCCAGATCTGTGCCTCGACACAATCCTGGCTCGGAGCTCTACGGACAATTCCTTCAACTTCATGGCTTGGTTTTTGCTTTGACATGCACTGTCAACTGTGGGACCTTATATAGACAGGTGTGTGCCTTTCCAAATCATGTCCAATCAATTGAATTTACCACAGGTGGACTCCAATCAAGTTGTAGAAACATCTCAAGGATGATCAAAGGAAACAGGATGCACCTGAGCTCAATTTCGAGTCTCATAGCAAAGGGTCTGAATACTTATGTAAATAAGGTATCTCTGTTTTTTTATTTGTAATAAATGTGCAAAAATGTCTAAAAACCTGTTTTCGCTTTGTCATTATAGGGTATTGTGTGTAGACTGATGAGGATTTTTTTTATTTAATCCATTTTAGAATAAGGCTGTAACATAATTTTTTTTTGGAAAAAGTCAAGGGGTCTGAATACTTTCCGAATGCACTGTACGTCATAAAATGATATTCTGTCTGTCAAACCACTGACCCCATAAAGCACAAGTCAAAGACGTTTGAATGACATATACAAAGAGCATAATGTGAGCCCTGACCAGAATATGCTTTCACTGAGCTTTAGAGGGAATTTTGTAATCATTCCGTCTAGTAATATAAGTCTGGGCAAAGCAGTTTACCTCTAGCCTGGCTAAACCAGACCAAACAAAGCAAAACAACAGTGAAATCATTTGGAATGCCAGGCTAGTTTACCTCCTCCAAAGGGTGCCCAGATGACCCGTCGTATGGCCTTGACCCAGTCATCCATGTCACTCTGAGAGTTGGCCATGAGTAGAAAGGCCTCATGACTGATAGCAGCACGGTCCTTTTCTCCTCCTGGACCACCTGAGCGAAAAAGAGAGAGAGAGAAAGAGAGCAAGAGAGAGATGAAGAGAGAGATAGAAATTGAGAAAGTGAGACATAGAGAGAGAAAGAGAGAGAGAGATGGAGAGAGAGAGAGAGATGGAGAGAGAGAGAAAGAAAGAGAGAGATGGAGAGAGAAGGAGAGAGAGAGATGAGTGGATGAGTCTTTGGAAAGTAAATGTTGTTGCCAGACTCCAATCTGGGGGAAGACTGGACTGATGTTAATTAAAGGTTGATGAGTCCAGCAGCCACTTCAATATCCTCCCATGTTTTTTCCCCATACCACAGCTCTACAGGGGGAGATGGTGTCCTTCAAGATCCCATCGCTGTACTAGGCTACAATATGAGATCTTGTGAATGTTCAACAACCTCTGACTCCTTAAAAATCCAACTGTCTAAATAAAAATTCTGATTAGATTTTCAGCAAACAAGCTAAACATCAACTGGCCTCATCTCAGACCTGTTGGTAAATAATGTTGTAACTGGCATTATTACCACTAGATGGTGTAGTTGTTGTGTTTAGAATACAGTGACAGCTACATACAGAACAGACTGACTGAAATACCGATATAGACTATGTCTCAATTGATTGACCCTAATTGTCACATTTAAGTGATTAGTCAGATATCATTCTTTAGATGTGATTTTACTGTGGTCCAGTTATATGTTATGGTATCTCTTGCCATGTTACTCAATCGCATTTAGCTTGGGGAAGGTAAACCAAATATAAACAGCAGTGCCATAAATGCCTTTGTCACCCAGCTCAGCAAACTCACACCACTGTGATTATCACTGAGCAGACCAGTCGCTGTGTACTCACTTCCAAAAGGGTTCTTCGGCTGTCCCCATAGGAGAACCCTTTTTGGTTCCAGGTAGAACCCTTTTTGGTTTCAGGTAGAATCCTTTTGGGTTCCATGTCGAACCCTCTGTGGAAAGGGTTTTTACCTACAACCAAAAAGGTTCTACCTGGAACCAAAAAGGGTTCTTCAAAGGGTTATCCTATGGGGACAGCTGAAGATCCATTTTAGGTTCTAGATAGCACTTTTTTTTTTAAAGAGTGTAGATACAGGTTTGTATTCTAGTACCTGGCTGAAATGCTTTAGTCATCATTACTTTCATCATTATTACCACATGCAGTCTTTTCATTCAGTCAGTACCTCATATACAGTACCTAATATTATTTTGATGAAGTACAGATGTCGGATCTTAATATGACCCATTTTGTCGCAGGAGAAAAATAATCCTGCAGCAGGAGGATTTGAATCAATATTCAATATTTAGAATTGCTGCCAGGGGGCAGCTGGAAGCGGTGTTTGTAGGCTGTACAATGCAGTACCATACCTAGGGGGTTATGGTTTGGGGAAGGCTCTCCAACCGACCTCATACCATCAAGTATCATCAAGTATTCTCATTGCTTGCTAGAGCATTGTGAACTGCCATAGCGCAGTTGTCTGAGAAGCACACATCAGCGCCAAACATTATAGGATCGCGCCCAGTGCTGGGCAATCATTTTTACACTTTGTATGACTGGAAACTAATGTTGGTGTAGTCTACTGTTATTATTTAACCAATCCAAAAGGCAGCTACCTACTGCCTACCTGCCTCCAAAGGCACCTGTCTTAGTAGGCTGCACTTTTCCAGTACGTTACTGACATTTGTGACGAGGCAGCATCACGTGATAACGCATTCACATTCCACCGAGCGGTAGATGTTTGCAGCCACATTGTAGCCACTGTAGCAGTGTGAGCAACCATCTCAAAATGAAAAAATCTGACACGAATAATAACTAAACAAGTAACAGAATGGATCTCTTCAGTACCTGTTAATGAATGAAGTTGACACCGACCAGAATAATTATCCTACTGTATAGGGTCCTCTTCTAACATATTGCTGGTCTGCTGCTCCATCGTTGTAAGCTTGCGTGCATGATATTATACAGGCTACGATTTTTTGAGATAGCTAAATAAGATATTTTACTGACTGTTTAAGAATGATTAATAGCCAGAATAGTGGTGTTTCACTGTGAAGCTAATATTGCATTAGAGTTAATAATGTGCTTTTCTAATGAGTAGGCTTGCATTGTGATTAATTCATAGAACTATCACACCCTTGCATATTATTAAATGACATTGATTTTCAAGATGTATATTTTATATTCGTTGATAACTAATATTGAAAGGTGATATGATGTAATCTAACTAGATTAGAAGGCCTAGGCTACTTCATCCTAATGTAAGCTCAATGCATTGTATACAAAACAAATACTGGCATGTGATAAAGGACCACATGACCAATATAATTATATAAATGCATATCAAACAGGAATATATATTCAGTTAAATGAATACAGCATTGTAATATTATTGATGCCTTTCTCTCTCCTTGCAGGGGATTAGACAGATGAACTGCAGTCACCAGATAGATGCCCAAGCCTCAAAACCAGAAACATGTGGAGACATCAACACTTGTAATTTTGAATAAATGTTAACATTTGTATTGGTTTTCCTGTATCTGTGCATGAGTCCTTAAAACACAGTCCATTGTACAAAATAAGTAATTACCAAGTGAGGGATTTCAAGGAGATTAACCTCCAACAATCATAAACTTGTTCAGTACATAAGCTTGTTCAGCCACAGGTTTTTTTTATAGACATGACTGGAGTTTACAGTTTTTTGTTCCAGCCCTTCACTAACACCTAATTCAACTAATTGTGGTCTAAATTGAAAACTTACTCCAAGTGCAATCTCCTGGGACAGAAATCATGTCTGTAGTTTAGAATGAGCTTCATAAGTACATTGTCCTGACAAATCTGCATGATAAACAATAACATGGTGAATCTATTTCTATCTAACATTGCGATGTAGCACACTCCTGAATAATATCCTGGGAAATGATGATTATCCTGGTGCCTGGGAGGTTCACAACAAGTTATTTACATCTGCAGGGTGTCATGGTGGGATGTCCTTCAACCTGGAACAAGCAGAGACAAGGGGGGAGAAATTAACCTCACTTCTCAAATTTCAGTGCTGGTTCAAGTTGCTGAAGCCACAACTACCTTTATTAATGTGCAATCGTTTGGTTAACAGTTTTGTATATTTTTAGGCTT